GGTGGGGGGGTCAGGGCTGGGATCCCCCCACAGGAACCCCCTCCTTGGGGGAATCAGTGCCATGTTCACCCACTGCCCCTCCCCCATGGGATCCCCGCCCCCCTCCATGGCACAGGGGATCAGGGCCGCTATCCTGGGATTTACTCACAGGCTGTTGGGGTGTATCTGGGTCCGACAGGGCCTGGACAGAGAGAGGGAGCGAGTCATTGCAGGGGAATGGGGGGTGTTTGACCTGGGAGCGACCCCCCATCAGACCCCCCTGCTGCCCTGGGGCCTCACCCAGATGGGAACCCCCTGGTGACCCCTTCCTCCCAACTCATCCAGATAGAGACCCCCAGTGACCCCAACCCCCTGCCATACCCAGATTGGAACTGCCCTGTAACACCCTCCTCCCAACTCATCTAGATAGAGACCCCCAGTGACGCCAACCCCTGACCTCACCCAGATGGAGGCAGCCCCCCGCACCCCCAATGATCCAGGCCCCATCTCTCCAGGCCAGACCAACCTTCAGTGCCCCCAAAGAGAGCCCAGGAGCCCCTGCCCACCTGCCCGCACTGCGCTCTGCTCAGACAAGACCCTGCCCCCCCCCGCTTCTCTCGCTGCCCCCGCCCTCTTCCCCCCAGCCCTGCCCCCTCCCTGGGCTCTGCCCCCCCCAGCCCTGCCTCCAGGGATCTTCCTCCATCCCTTTACCTGGGCGATTTCTCCTCCACATGATAACACCGGCTACTGCGGCACCGGCCCCAGCCAGCATGGCCAGAACGAGGGGGACCAGGACCCCAGGGGGCAGGAGGCCCTTCTTACCGGGGACTGTGGGGATGGAGACAGGAGATGGTTACTGGGGGGGTGAGAAGGGAGGGAGGCTGGCGCGTGGAAATGGAGGCAGGAGGGCGCATGGGGACAGACCCCCCTCCTTACCCCAGATGAGTGTGGGCTCCGGCAGGCTGGTGTGCTCCACCCGGCAGGCGTAGCGGTGCCCGTCCTGCTGCAGGGAGATCTCCAGGGACGACTGCGTGTAATAGGTGCTGTCGGCGTTGGGCAGGATCCCGCTGGAGTCTGTCTCTGCCAGGATGTCTTCTTCGTCCCGCACCCAGGAGACGTGGATGGGACGTGGGTAAAAGCCCCTGGCGTGGCAGGAGAGGGTGACGGAGCCGTCGGGGGCATCTCTACAGGAAACCGAGACCTCGGGGGGCACTGGGCGGAGACAAGACGTTAGAGAGTGTGGGAGCATTTTTTCGCACCAATCCCATCTCTGAGGCCAGGTATGTTCCTGCCAGCTGACTGTGCTCAGGTTCCCCTGCCCAGCTGGGTCCCCCCGGGACAGACCTGGCTGTTTGGGGGCCCCCGGTCCCCTCCTCCCACCCCCAACCCCCAATGCTGCCGGCTGCTCCCACTCACACTGGCGCCCCAGGGTCTCCCTGCCGTGCCGGACGAGGCTCCTCAGCGTCTTCACACACTCCTGCTGCAGGTAGTGCTGCAGGAACTGGCACCAGGGCCGGTCGGCCTCCCAGCGCCGCTTGGACAGCACAGCTGGCTGCACGGCCGCCACCCACAGCCCCCGCTGCCCGTCAAAGCCGATGAAGTCCTGGCTGTCGTAGGCATATTGCAGCACCCCGGCTTGGGGGGAGTCGTCCCGCAGGGAGCAGCCCACCCGCAGCTGCAGCGTGTGCACCCCTGCCGGGGAAGGGAGAGAGAGGCAGCATCACACGGTGATTGTGGATGAAGAAGTGCTCGGGGGTCTGCAGAACTATCTGTCACAGGATATTACCAGGGCAGCACTGACAGCACCACCAGCCTCTCTGTGCCACCTCTCCCATTAGCCCCCCATAGTCTCCCTCGGGCTAAACCCTCTGCCCTCTCCCTGCCCCGCACGTCCAAGACCTCTGCCAAAATCCTCTTCCCAACATGGCTCGTCCCCCTGGGTCTCCTGGACCTCCCTGTATCCAGTCCAAGCTCCTCTGCCCCCTGGCCCCTGCTCCAAGGCTCTTGGTAACCTTCTCCCCCCAGCTGTGTCTCTGCTTTCACAACCCCCACACCCTTCAGCTTTGTGTTCCCCCGGCTCACCCTCCCAACACCGCTCTCTCCTCCTTCAGATCCACTTCCCCTCACCCACTCGCCCCGCAGCCCCCGGCACCCACATGCCCTGCCCTCGCCGTGGTCCTCTCCATCTGCCCCCATCCCCCTCTGCCCCGCCTGCCTGCTTCCTTCCCTCCGGTCTCCTCAGCATCGCCCCCTCCACCTTCCCCTTCACCTTCCCCCTCGAGACCCCGCCCCCGCCTTGGATCCTAGTCGCTCCAGCTCCTCGCTCGGTCTCCCTGCCTTTCCCCACCAGGTAGCTTTAGCCCCCAACTGTAACTCACCAGCTCTCTGGGGGTGGGGCCTTTCCCATTCCTGCTCTGCATGGGCCGTGCTGTAGGGGGGTTGTTTTGTTCAGGGCCAGCTTTAGGAAGTGCGGGGCCCAATTCGAACATTTTCGGCGGGGCCCCGGCAGGGATGACAAACAAACAAACAAAAAAACCCTGTAAAAAAAGCCCTTTCATTTCTTCCATGTATTATTTACTTTCCATAACTATATAGATAATAAAATTATATATTATGTACATTGTGTCATATATGCTGTTGATCAGTTATTAATGAGCTCCATTTCACATGTGTGGATCCCCGCCACTCCCTGGGGATGTGTGTGCACATGTGTGGGTCCCAGCTGTTCCCTGTCCCCTTCATTGAAGCAGGTGTGCAGGGTTACTGCCCTGGGAACTGCAGGGCACCAGTGGACATGGGGCTGGCTGGAGGCAGGGCAGGGGCTGGCTGGAGGTAGGTTCTGGCTGCAGGCAGAGCAAGGGGTGCGGGGCTGGCTGGAGACAGGGGTGTGTGGAGCGGGTTGGCTTCAGGCAGGGGGGTGCGGCAGGGGTTGGCTGGAGACAGGACAGGGGGTGCCTGGTTGGCTGCAGGCAGGGCGGTGGGGGGCAGGGCTGGTGCGGGCAGGGCGGGGCTGATGAGGGCAGGACAGGGGGTACAGGGCTAGTGCGAGCAGGGGGTGCAGGGCTGGAGATAGAGAGGGGGTGCAGCAGGGGCTGGCTGCGGGCCGGGGGTGCAGGGCTGGCTGCAGGCAGGGCAGGGGGGCGGGGCTGGTGCGGGGAGGACAGGGGGTGCATAACTGGTGTGGGCAGGGAGTGTGGCAGGCAGTGGCTGCAGGCAGGGGATGCAGCAGAGGCAGCTGGAGCCCCGGCCCTGTAAATAGCCCCCAGAGCCCCACAACCCTACCCCAGGCTCCAGCAGCGGGGCTCTGGTGGCAATTTAAAGGGCCTGGGCCCTTTAAATTGCCCCCTGGGGAAGCCGGGCCACCTGGAATGGTGCACCGGCTGTTGCTGGTACGCCATACCGGGGCTTGGGCGCGGGGCCCGATTCAGGGGAATTGGTTGAATTGGCCTAAAGCCGGCCCTGGTTTTGTTACCCCCCACACACACATCGCCTTCCCCTTGCAGAGCCCTTTGTACCCACAGCTCATATGGGGAGCGAGAACCCCCGCCGCCCCGGGCTGAGGGTCAGACCCCTAGACAGCCTTCCCCCACCCAGGGGCCAGTCGAGCTGGATTGGGGGCCCCTCAGGAGTCACCGGGGTCCCTCACCGCCCGTCTGGTTGTAGCGCTCCAGCAGCCGGCCCATGATGCGCTGGAACCCCTCCTTGTACCCCAGCAGCTCCTGCCTCTTGCTCCGGAAATAGCTGGGCTCTACAGCCTGGCACATCCAGTCCTGGGTGGGGCTCAGTTCCAGGGTGGTGCTGTCATAATAGGCCACCCCCAGACCATCCACCTGCCCGAGCACAAAGAAGTTGGGGATCCCCTTGGAGCCCTGCACCCCCGTGAACAGGATGTCCCAGCTGTGCTGCGCCACTGGACCTGGACAAGAGGACGTGGGTTAGACTGAGCCCCCAGCCCACCCTCTGGGATCCAGAGAGCAGGACCCATAACCCCTGATGCTTCCCATGTGGGAGAGCCTCACAGCTAGGGAGAGAATCCAGGAGTCCTGGCTCCCAACTCCCCACCCACCAGACCCCCAACCCACCAGACCCCACTCCCCTCCCAGAGCTGGGATAGAACCCAGAAGTCCAGACTCACAGTCCCCATCCCCACCCCCCTGCTAGACCCCACTCCCCTTCCAGAGCCAGGAGAACCCAGGAGTCCTGGCTCCGAGCCCAGCTCTGTGGTGTGTTGAGGGTGGTTGGGGTTGCAGGGTAAGAGCCAGAGGGGCTGTGGGGCCACGTCGGGGCAGCAGTCAGTGTGGACAGAGCAGCCCCGAACACGGTGGGCTGAGCGCTGACCCAGGGGGCAGCCTGCTTTGTCTCTCCCGGGTTTGGGTGCACGTTACCCGCCAGCTCTCAGCAGCACTGGAGCCGCAGTACGGGACAGCCTCCCAGCAGAGCCTTGATCAAACTCCCCTGTGTGTGGCTGGGAGCACAACAGATCCACCCCCCTCCCCCCCCCCGCATCCTCTGTCCTGTCCCAGCCCCACTCACCCGCAGCTCCCGCCGCCCCCAGCAGGCAGAACCAGAGCCCCAGCGCCAGGGCCATTCTCCTGGGGAAGGGGCTACGGCCGGTCTCCCCCAGCCCTGGGGAAGGAGAGACAAGCTGCACAAGAGCCTGATGTCCCCCCCCCCCGGCTTCTAATTCCCCTTTCGCTTTCACAGGGTGCTGCCCATGGGAGCCCGGCCAGCCAATGAGAGCGAGGGAGCGGGCGCAGCGCCGGGGGCTGGTGAAGCAGCATCCCAAGGGGCGATAACGGGGCTCGGTCGGAGCAAGGGCACCCTATGAAAATACCCATCGGAGAGGCGATAACGGTGAGTAAGTGACAGAGCTCAGATAGAACCCAGGAATCCTGGCTCCCAGCCCCCCCAACTCTCCTCCCCTCCCCTCCCAGAGCCAGGGAGAGAACCCAGGAGTCCTGGCTCCCAGCAAAAGGGACCAGCCCCCCCCCCCCCGCTCTATCCCATTAGGCCCCCAGCCCCCCCACTCCCATCACAGAGCTGGGATAGAACCCAGGAATCTGGGCTCCCAGCAAAAGGGACCAGCCCCCCCCCCCCCGCTCTATCCCATTAGGCCCCC